GCTTGATGCCATTCGCTCAGAGTTTCACGAAGGTCTTCTCTAGGTCAGCTATGACCTAGTCAGCCTGTTTGGAGTTGACCACGATGACATCCACGTAAGCCTCAACGGTCCACCCGATGAGATCCCCAAAACACTTGAGCATGCAACATTGGTACGTAGCCCCCGCGTTCTTCAGACTGAACGGCATTGTGACGTAGCAGAATGATTCGAATGGGGTGATGAAAGATGTCGCGAGCTGGTCAGACTCTTTCATCGCGATTTGATGGTACCCAGAGTACGCATCAAGGAAGCAAAGGGTTTCGCACCCTGATGTCAAGTCGACCACTTGGTCTATGCTTGGCAAAGGAAATAGATCCTTTGGACACGCTTTGTTGAGACCCGTGTAGTCAACACACATTCTCCATTTCCCACTCTTTTTTCGTATAAGAACGGGATTGGCTAACCACTCGGGGTGGTATACTTCCTTGATGAACCCGGCTGCCAAAAGCTTCGCGATCTCCTCGCCGATGGCCCTATGCTTCTCCTCGTCGAAGCGATGCAGGCGCTGCTTCACTGGCTTCGAGCCTGGCCTAATCTTCAAGGCATGCTCGATGACTTCTCTTAGAATGCCTAGCATGTCCGAGGGTCTCCATGCAAAGATGTCTCTGGTGGCGCGGAGGAAATCGATGAGCGCGCTTTCCTATTCGGAGGAAAGCGTGGTGCCAATGCGTACCACTTTGCCCTTGGAGCCGCTGGGGTCTATGAGGACCTCCTTGGTGCCCTCCACAAGCCTAAAAGACCTGGCCGACCGCTTGGGGTCAAGTGCTTCTTCGATGACCTCCTTCCTGATGGTTGCAAGCTCTTTGGAGGCGACGATTGTCGTGGCATGTTCGCAGCACTCGACCTCGCACTTGTAGGTGCGTTGGAAGGAGGTGCCGATGGTGATGACCCGCATGGACCCGGCATCTTCAACTTCAGGTAGGTGTAGTTGAGGACGGCCATGCGTAGCATGGATGTCCCAGGATGGCGTGGTAGGTTCCATGGAACCCGACCACCTCGAACATAAGGGTCTCTGTCCTGTAATTGGTCGGATCCTCGAAGGTGATGGGCAGATCGATCTGCCCAAGTGGCACGGCCCGCTTTCCAGGCACGATGCTGTGGAAAGGCGCCCTGATCGGTCAGATGCGCGATCAGTCGATGCCCATGGCGTCGAGCATTTCGGCATACATGATGTTGAGGCCACTGCCTCCATCCATCAGCACCTTGGTGAGCCACTTCATGCCGATGATCGGGTTGACCATGAGCGGATATCTTCCTAGTTGTGGGATGCTTTCCGGGTGGTCAGTCCGATCAAAGGTTATGGCGGGCTTCGACCATCGGAGGAAAGCAGGCGTGACCGGCTCGACCATATCGTCTGCCGGTCATGGCGTTCCATACCGTCCCAGTGGACGTCGTGGTAAACTGACGCGCCTATCATCGTTCGTACGAGGGTTAGCCAGAACAGCACCGACACACCCAACGTTGTTCTTGATGTGAACCCTCAGGTATGGCCCATCATGGCTATGGGTTACATCGAGGCATGCTAGTCTCTTCCCTAGTGTCAGAGCTTTGACCCAGGCCCATACGCTTGGACCTGGAGTGGTTGGCGGCGGTATGGGTCCCTGTCAGATGGGGTGGAGTCTGCACCCAAGGTGTCGGGCGAGGCGGAGCCCGTGGCCTCGGGTCGGGCGAGGCGGAGCCCGTGGCCTTGAGGCGAGCAAGACAGAGCCCACGACCTTGGGGTCGGGCGAGGCAAAGCCTGCGGCCTCGGGGTTGGACGAGGTGGAGCCCTTCCCCAGAGGTCAGGCGAGGCAGAGCCCGCGCACCTGGGGGTCGGTTGGAGCTATAGTCACGCTCTTAACTGCTCGGATGAATCAATGTTGATGACCATTAGCTCCTCCTCTTCGGGTACCCTAGTATTGGTCCCCAACAATAAGGAAGAAACTTCATAAGAATTCTCAGTGGGCAAACACCTGTTATGCACAGCCTGCTAGTAATGGTATTTTTCATGTCAATATGGTGGACAGACAATACACAGTGGAACTAGGCATTAGGCAGTGTGATTGCAGGAGGTGGGAGCTGACTGGTATCCCTTGCTCTCATGCTATATCTTGTTTGAAGATAGAGAGAATTCCTCCTGAGTCAATGGTTCATGAGTGCTACTCTATTGCAACCTACCTGAAAGCATATGGTCCCAAGATTTATCCTTGCAAAGATAGGAGCATGTGATAGAAAGTTCAAGGACCAAATGTACTTCCACAGTCTATGTGAAAAAAGTTGGCAGGCCACCCAAGAACAGAAGGAAGCAACCTCATGAAGTCATGGGCAAGTTTGGTCCTAAAATGTTCAAGCATGGTACTGTCATTACTTGCTCTTATTGTGGAACAGAAGGGCATAACAGATGTGGTTGCAAGCTGAGGAAGGCTGGGATCAGGCCTGAACTACAACCTCAAAACAAACCAAATGTGGATCATGGCCAAGAAGGAGGATCAGCTAAAGGTTTCGAAGAACCAGTTACTAGCCAGGTAAGTGAAACTCATTTAGCATGTCAATTGGATTAATAGTTCATACACTCTAAAGCATGGTATTTGTAGGCGTCCATGCAGTTTGGAGAGGGGAGCTAGCCAGTGCTATCAAAAATGGCAGGAACTATCCTTTCTCAATTGTATGCAGATGTATGTGCACATAAACTTCATCCACTCTATCAAATTGAACTTGTAAACACCTAACTTGATTCCATGCAGTCCTCACAAACAAGCAAAAGACAACTTCATAAGGAACCATTGCTAGATTCCACATTCATCAGCAAGAACCAGCCTACTACGAGGCTAGTGCCCCCTACCACTGCAAGCAAGGCTGGAAGAGGAAGATTGAAGCGCAATGCACCGAGTGGTCCATGTAATCAGCAAGGCAAGACCAAGAATAATACAACTACCAAGACAAGAAGGCTTGAAGACCTGTGAATATGGTCTGTGATGCTTTTGTATAGGTCAATAGGCTCACTGTGCCAGTTTCTATGAACCTGTAAAGCAGCAGCAAAAACATCTTAGCTGATGCTTTAGGCTTATTTTGCTTCCTTTTGGTTCTTCCAGCCAGGCAGGGAAGATAGATACATCTTTTGGTTCTTCCATATAAGCATAGGAAGATAGTACTTACTTAGTGCCTTACATCCAGGACAATGACATGTGTGTCTCAATGTCCTTGGTAAATGGTTGATGGACACAAAATCTATGACAATACATCATGTTGTTATGGTTCCATCTTGAGGAATTGACATTGCAAGATCTATGAACATCATCTTGTTGTTATTCATTGATGGTTTCATACATGGCTTGATAACATTACTGAACATATGCATTGATAACATAATGTTGATGAATACATCATGATTGCTGAATCCAACATTATTGAATACACAAAATCAACATGAATCCTTGTGACAGCCTTCAGCAACACAAAAGCAACAGTACTGATTACACATTTACCTACTTCACCAATAAGACTAATAGAACAAGAATGAGCACAAACAATAGAGCAACACAGACTACAAATATAGCCTTCAACACCATGACTACTTCTTTCACCATTTCAGCATATACAACTTCCCTCTTCAGCCAACCATTGTTGCGTACTCCTCCATCAGTGTTCATCTTCAAATCAGGGGATTCCACCATGGTTGTGCCTACATTGCTAGGACTTGCTTGAGCACCAACAATGTTCTTGCCGAACACCACCTCCAAGTACTCCTTCTCCCACTTCCAAAAAGGGCAACCGGTTCCATCTCGCTACAAAAATCCCTAATATCAGCTTCGAATCTAGCAAGAACAAGAACTTCATCTCAATTGAACCACTAACCTTGTAGAACGGGCAGCAGTAGAACGCCTGCCCAAAGCTCCATTCCTGCTTTGATACCCGGCACACCACCCTTGCCCGCCTGCACTCCCTACACTGGATCAGCAGTATATTGGCTGGATCTACCGTAGACGCCCTTGATTCGCTAGCCATGGTGCCGATCTGATCTCGACGACGGGAGCAAGAGGAGGAAGATAGTTTAGAGAGAGAGAGGGCAGATACGGACAGTGGGTTAGTTGCCCTTTTCAATACAACTCAAGGTGTCCTCTACAAAATTGCCAACGTCTAGGAGCGGCAAAAATCCTGCCAGAACCAATCGTTCGCCACGCTGGCGCTGCCACGTCGCCTGGAAGCCGCGCCAGATGGGAAATGGGCTTGCGGTGAACAACTTGACAAGTTCAGGGGGCCATTTTCTATGTTTGCAAGTTCGTGGACCGAACTGGCACCAGCCGACAAGTTAAAGGGCCGCCGGTGTATTTCGCCTTTTTTCTTTTAAAAAAAGAGACTCCTTTCTCCTCTCTCACCTCCCATGGCAAGTGCCCTGTAGTCTAGCGCCAGCTCCACGTCGACGTGCACGTTCACGGCCCCCAGCCCGAGGTCGGCCATCAACCGCAGCGCCACCTTGGGAATGACCTCTCATCCAGGAAGTAGAGCACGCCAGCACCATCAGCACCCTGTCGTGGTGAGCAGGGGCGAGGTAGAGCGCATCGCCGCGGGCGTCACGCAGAGGCAGTATAGAGGAGCCGGAGCTGCGCCGAGTCGCCGGCATATAGTCACGGCCATGTCGCAGGAAGGGCAGGTGGCGCGTGCGCCCCCGTGCTCGGAGCCGGAGGAGGGGCGCGGTGTGCGGCTGGCGATGGTCCATGCTGGCTTGTGTTGCTGTGCGCGCCAGTCTACCTCATTTTGCCCGGCCTCAGCGGTAATAACGGGGCACTGAAGGCGACGCTAGAGACAACCCAAAGCCCCCTCCTGCGTGTCCAGGCCTCATGTGTTCACGTCCCGCCGTGGGCCAGCCCGGGCCCCGTCCGCGCGCCTCGTGTAGCACATGTGCGTACTAAAATATTCGGCCACTGTTGTTCACGCTACGTACGGATGCTAGCTGTAGGCAAGGTTGAGGAATGGAAAGCCTTTCATGGGTTCCGGGTGACGGCGGCGGAGGTGTTGTCGGCCGTCCCGGCACTTGGCCCGTTAAGCTGTTGCAGTGCGCCAGCTGCTCCTTTCCTACGGCGGCACCAGTCGTGGACGGAGAGGTACAAGTGCTTGCCTGCCGCCAACATCTCCACCATTTGCTCCGTCGTCAGGATCTCCGTCGTCAACGCCCACGTCGTCGCCATCCTCAGCTCGTCGGCCTCCACTAGCAGCCGTGACAGCGCGGCCTTGTAGTTGTCCAGCGTCGCATCCACCTCGGTGTCCGCGCTGGCGCAGGTTCCGCGAGCAGCATCGAGCGGTGCCACCGCAGCCGCGGCCGCCGTGGCAAGCTCGCCGCGCTGCCTCACGATGGGCAGGAGCGGGCGGTTGGCGATGTCCTCCTGCAGGGTGGCAAGCTGATCCGATAGGGCATTCTCCGATGCCCTGTCCTCCCACAACAGCGCGCGCCTGCGGGTGGCATAGTTCTGTTACACGAGCATGCACCGCTCCACCACGGTCCGCAGCTCGGCCTTTGCTCGCTCGCAGTCACAGCGCCGACGGCGGACGACGCTCTACGCTTCCTCTAGTATGCCGTCTAGCGCAGGCAACTAGTCGTGGGCGGCTAATGGACGACCTGGGGCTTGGGGCCGTGTACGTGCACATTGACAACTCGACATAGAGCTAGCGCTAGACCACAGGGCGTTGGCCATGAGAGGTGGGAGAGGAGAAGGTAGTGTCTCTTATTTAGGAAAAAAAATAAAACTAAGGGGTCAAATAAAAAAATACATGCCACTCTAGCATGCCACGTCAGCAGAAAAATATCCGCATGGCTGGTATGGGCCTGTAGTATATCACTTAACAAGTTTAAAGACCTAGAAATGCATTTTCAAAGTTTATGGACCTATGTGACACACGCTTATCCAGTTCGAGGACCTCTGGTGCATTTAACTCTTTTTTTCAATGAAGTGAGGTAATCCAAAAGGGCTAACTGAAACAACAACATAAAATAGCATTATCTCGAAATGAAAATAAGGGTCTCTTTGGTAGACCTTTAGCTTCTCAAAAAATGGTGAAGCCACGTTTTAGTGGCTTTGGTTTCTTGCAAAAAAATAAATTGGCTTCAGCTTCATCATTTTTACCTTGGTTTCAGCTTTAGAAGCCAATCTCGTATCGTATGTCCTCATTTGATAGGGCTGTTTGATTAGGCCGGTGAAGAAGATACACAACATAAGTTCTGCAAAAGAGGGCCTAAGAAAACTATTACCGTCTTACCGACATCGGATGTGATTTAGTCCAATCTCCGTGCTGCCAAGACGTTCAACAGAGAATTCAATTGAATCACATGTGTACCTGTCTTTATTTAAACACCCCACCACCACAAAAAAAAAAAAAAAAGATCTTTCGGTGTTTGTATGACTGATGTGTATCTATCAAAATCCCGTCTCTTTCATTTCCCTGAAATAATAGTGTATGGCGCCGTATTATTTCCCTGTAGCCGGATAGGCATATAGCACAACTTGAAGAAGACATCAAACCAAAGCAGATAAAAAGGTGGGAGAGCCGGCCCTGCAGTTCCCGCCGCCAACAGATCCAGCGTACTCGCCAATTGGATCGTCGCATCCGCGAGACCGCGAGGGGGGCGCTGACGCGCGGTATGCAATGCATGCATCGCACGCGCCCTGGCGCGCGGGGCGTTGGCGCGGCCGAAAGCGGCGGCGGCACACGTGCCACCTGCCGCTACCGGTTGACTTCGCCGCCAACCTCCCGTGGCCATCCCCCACCCAACCCCAAGCGGAATGTGCAGTCCTGCACATTAAAATCTGATGTTTGTTATTTAGTTGCTCCTAAAATTTATGTCACATCGAATATTTAGATACTAATAAGGAACATTAAATATAGATTAATTACAAAACCAATTACATAGATGAAGGCTAATTTTCGAGACGAATTTTTTAAGTCTAATTAATCCGTCATTAGCACATGTTTACTGTAGCACCGCGTTGTCAAATCATGAACTAATTAGGCTTAAAAGATTCGTCTCGTAGATTAGTCACAAGTTGTGCAATTAGTTTCGTAATTAGTCTATATTTAATACTCCATACATGTGTCCAAACATTCAATGTGACAGGAATTTTAGGAGCTCATGTAGAAACCAAACAGGCCCTAAATCTTAAATTTCTTACGGTCTGTTTGCTTGATCGTTTCTGTGGCTTATAAGCCGGTTGATGCTGTTTTGTTATTAGAGAAAAACATTGTATCATAACTGATAAGCATAACTGATACGATCAAGCGAACAGAGTGTTTGTTCATAGCAAATCTTTTGGTATTTCCACCACTAAGCATGCTTCGTATAATGGCATAGCTCTTCATGTCTTTCACGTGCTGTTCTGCAACGTTTAGCGAATATTATCTTCCATAATCACGGTTATATTTTATTTCTGATAATATGGGCACAAAGGTAGCACTAATCCGGCTGGGGCAATATTCATTAATATCTATTTGGTATGCAGGAAGAGCGGGCCTGATGCAAACAGTAGAGTCTTACCGTCTGTGACCGTAAGGTCCCGGCTTCAAGTAGCGGTCTCCTCGCATTGCACAGGTGAGAGTAAGGCTTACCATTGACACCCTTCTCCAGACCCCGCACAGAGCGAGAGCTCTCTGCACTGGGTACGCCCTTTATCTATTTGGTGTGTAGGTTCTATCCTGAGAATGGTCTGCTTTCGTGATAGTTACAATACTCATGTTCATCAGGGAAGTCAAATGGAGAGAGCGAGACTGAGAACGACGGTTAGGCCAATGGATTCTCTCAGCAAGTTGAAAAAGACAATAAATTCGCCGAAGAAAACTCGGGCCACCCACGGCTGAGTGCCTGCACAATCACAAGTCAAAACCGACGCACGCCACGCCGTCCCAGGCAACACTACTGTCCCATCGTCTCCCTCCCACCTCACTTCCCTTCTTCCCTCCACCATTGTTGCTACGGGTGCAAGCTCCCAGGCTAGTCCAGCTTTCCGCGCCATATGGCCTAGATGATGTGAAGGTCCTGAAAAGACCGAGCAAGAAGCCTTCTTCCCCGCCCAGCGTCATCACTGTGCTGCATCCTTGCTTCTATGGAGCATTTCTTGATGCAACGCACCGCCACATGGCCAGGCCGTTTCTTCCTGTGCTTGTCTGTCTTGGTCCTGCTGCTCTTCCTGTCTCCAGTCGACTCCCTGAACCAGAGCTCCAGCTCCTGCGACCCGGGTGATCTTAAAGCCCTGGAGGGCTTCTCCAAAGGTCTTGAAGGGGGTGGAGTCGCTAGCTGGACGTTCCCAAACGCGACCTCCGACGCGGCCAGCTGCTGTGCATGGCCAGGTGTCACGTGCGATGGCAGCAGGAGGGTCATCGGGTTGGACCTCCATGGCCGGAGGCTGAGGGGCGAGCTGCCGCTCTCGCTCGCACAGCTGGACCAGCTCCAGTGGCTCAACCTCTCCGACAACTACTTCCATGGTGCCGTCCTCGCGCCTGTGTTCCAGCTCCAGAGGCTGCAGCAGCTCGACCTCAGCTACAACGTGCTCACCGGCACACTCCCAGACAACATGTCTCTCCCATTGATCGAGCTCTTCAATATATCCTACAACAACTTCAGTGGCTCCCACCCCACGCTCCGTGGTTCAGAGCATCTCACCGTGTTCGATGCAGGGTACAACTCCTTTGCCGGGCAGATTGATACAAGCATCTGTGAGTCGTCTGGTGAAATCAGTGCGCTGCGATTCACATCCAATCTCTTTACTGGGGACTTCCCAGCAGGCTTCGGGAACTGCACAAAGCTCGAGGAGCTGTATGTCGAACTCAACAGCATCTCCGGGAGATTGCCAGATGACCTATTCAGGCTGCCATCTCTGAAGATCCTGTCTCTGCAAGAGAATCAACTCTCTGGGGGGATGAGCCCAAGGTTCGGTAACCTGTCCAGCCTTGATAGGCTGGACATATCTTTCAATTCATTCTCTGGGCACCTTTCCAATGTTTTTGGTAGCCTCCACAAGTTGGAGTTCTTCTCTGCACAGTCCAACCTCTTCAGGGGCCCATTGCCTCCCTCGTTGTGCCATTCGCCATCACTGAAGATGCTGTACCTGAGGAACAATTCATTGAATGGAGAGATCAACCTCAATTGCTCAGCAATGACACAACTTAGCTCGCTCGACCTTGGCACAAATAAGTTCATTGGCACAATTGATAGTTTGTCGGATTGCCGTAATCTGAGGAGCCTGAACCTTGCCACAAACAACCTCAGTGGTGAAATCCCTGCTGGTTTCAGGAAGCTTCAGTCGCTAACCTACCTCTCACTTTCAAACAATAGCTTCACAGATGTGCCTTCAGCATTATCAGTCCTTCAGGACTGTCCAAGTCTAACAAGCCTCGTGCTCACAAAGAACTTCCGTGATGAGAAGGCCTTGCCGATGACTGGGATACAAGGTTTTCACAACATCCAAGTGTTTGTCATTGCAAATAGCCAACTTTCAGGATCGGTACCACCATGGCTAGCTAATTTCACACAACTGAAGGTGCTAGATCTGTCATGGAATCAATTGATCGAGAATATTCCTGCATGGATTGGTGATCTTGAGTTTCTGTTCTATCTGGATCTATCCAATAATTCACTTAGTGGAGGAATTCCAGAAAACTTGTCCAACATGAAGGCCCTTGTAACAAGAAAGATCTCACAGGAATCTACAGAGACTGATTATTTTCCTTTCTTCATCAAAAGGAACAAGACAGGCAAAGGGTTGCAGTACAATCAGGTTAGCAGCTTCCCACCCTCCCTGGTTCTCAGCCATAACAAGCTCACAGGCCCCATATTATCGGGATTTGGGATCCTCAAGCACCTACATGTATTGGACCTCAGCAACAACAATATTTCTGGTACCATTCCTGATGATCTATCAGGGATGTCAAGCTTGGAATCCTTGGATTTGTCACATAATAAACTTACCGGAGGCATCCCATCTTCATTAACGAAGCTGAATTTTCTATCAAGCTTCAGTGTGGCATACAACAATCTGAATGGTACCATTCCATCAGGAGGTCAATTCTCGACATTCAGTAGTTCTGCTTATGAGGGTAACCCCAAACTCTGTGGCATTCGCCTAGGCCTACCCCGGTGTCATTCAACTCCTGCTCCTACAATTGCTGCAACAAATAAGAGAAAGAACAAGGGCATCATATTTGGAATAGCTATGGGTATTGCAGTTGGGTCAGCGCTTGTTTTGTCTATTGCTGTTGTATTTGTGCTGAAGAGTAGCTTCAGAAGGCAGGATCATACAGTAAAGGCTGTCGCAGATACTAATCGAGCCCTCGAGTTGGAACCAGCCTCACTGGTACTACTGTTTCAGGACAAGGCTGATAAGGCATTGACCATCGCTGACATTTTGAAATCGACAAACAGCTTTGATCAGGCTAACATCATCGGTTGTGGTGGCTTTGGTCTAGTGTACAAGGCAACATTGCAAGATGGAGCAGCAATCGCTATCAAACGACTATCAGGTGATTTTGGTCAGATGGAGCGGGAGTTCAAAGCAGAGGTGGAGACGTTATCAAAAGCTCAGCATCCCAATCTTGTGCTTCTGCAAGGTTACTGCAGGATTGGCAGTGACAGACTCCTGATCTACTCTTTCATGGAAAATGGCAGCCTAGACCATTGGCTTCATGAAAAGCCAGATGGTCCCTCCAGATTAATCTGGCCAAGAAGACTTCAGATAGCAAAAGGAGCAGCAAGAGGTTTGGCATACCTGCATTCGTCATGCCAACCTCATATTCTCCATCGTGACGTCAAGTCAAGTAACATCCTTCTAGATGAGAATTTTAAAGCCCATTTGGCTGATTTTGGGCTTGCTCGGCTTATTTGTCCCTATGCCACACATGTGACCACTGACCTAGTTGGCACACTGGGTTATATTCCCCCTGAGTATGGCCAGTCTTCAGTAGCCACTTTCAAGGGTGATGTTTATAGTTTTGGCATTGTCCTTCTGGAGTTATTAACTGGCAAGAGGCCTGTAGACATGTGCAAGCCGAAGGGAGCTCGGGAGTTAGTCTCATGGGTTACACATATGAAAAGGGAAAACCGGGAAGCTGATGTCTTGGACCGTGCAATGTATGATAAGAAATTTGAGACGCAAATGATGCAGATGATTGATGTTGCTTGTCTGTGCGTAAGTGATTCACCAAAACTGCGGCCATTAACACATCAGTTAGTGCTATGGCTTGACAACATTGGTGTGACCAGTGATGCACCAAAGTGA